GGCTCCGCGAGGCGCCGCCGCCCCGGGAACGGGAGCGGGAACAGGAACGGGAGCGGGAGCCGCCGCCACCCCCGGCTCGGTCCGGGACCCCCAGACACCCCCCGGCAGCCGGATCTGGCACCGGGACCGGGCCCAGGATTCCCCACCGGGACCGGGAGCCATCCGGGGAGTCCCCACCGGGACCTGGGGCCATCCCAGGGTTCTCCCCGTGCTGGTGCTGCTGGGATTGCCTGGCACCCCCAACCAGCACAGGGGGCCCTTCCCATGGGGGACCCTTCCCACGGGGGACCCGTCCTACAGCACTGGGAGCACCTGCTGTCCCCAAATGGCACCTTACCTGGGGACCCCCCAGGTCCTCACACACAGGGCCGGGTGACAGCGGGATTTGGGGTGACAGCGGGTGCTGGTGGGTGCTGGGTGACAGCAGGACACGGGGTGACAGCAACGTTTCAGGTGACAGCAGGGAGCTGGGTGTTCGTGGGGTCCTGGGTGACAGCAGGACATTGGGCGCCAGTGAAGGGTGGCAGCAGAGGGAAGAGTGAGAGACATCGGGATTTGGGGTGACAGTCGGGTCCTGGGTGACAGCAGGACAGCGAGTGACAGCAGGGAGCTGGGTGACAGCACAGTGACGGGCGACAGCGGGATTTGGGGTGACAGCGAGCTCCTGGGTGGCGGTAGCGCAGCGGGTGACAGCAGTGACGGGCGGCAGCAGCATCGGGGTGACAGCGAGCGCTGGGTGACACCAGGCCGGCGGGTGAAGGACACACGGTGGCTCCGGGTGACGCCCTGCGTGGCGGCGCCGGCGCCCGGCGGCACCTGCTTAATATTCCCGGCGCTTCCGCCGGCGGCTGCGGCGCCCGGGCCGCGTTTCCAAGGGGACGGGCCGGGGGCCTGGGAAAGGGGTCGCGCGGAGGCGGCCGAGGCTGCCGGCCCGGCCGGCGGTCCAGGGCCCTGGGAGCTGCCGCCGTCCCGGGGCCTTCCCGGGCACCTGCGCCCGGCAGCCGCAGGTGGACGGGGCCCCGGACGATGTCCAGGCTCCGGCGGGTTGATCCCGTCCTTGCTTTAAGGATAAAATGCAGGATGGAGGAGCTGGAGCCTCCCTGCGGAGTGGCCGTGGCTGCTCCGGCGGGTGCAGGGAGCGACGGAGCCGCTGCCGGGGCCGTCCCGTGAGCGCCGCCGCTCCCGGCTCCCCTCTGCCCCCGAGGGCTCCGGGTCCCTCCCGTGAAGACGCAAACCCCTCCGGATCGGGGCAGGAGCGAAGGCTCCGCTCCCGAGCGGGGTGGGAGCCCCAGGGCCCCCCGACGGAGCCCGGGCGGGCGCCGGGGCCTCCCCTCCGCTCCCGGCGCCGCTGCAACCAGCCGGGGCTCCGTCTTCGGCCACGTTCCCAGCGGCAGGAGGGACGGGGAGGCTCCAGCTCCCGCAAAGCTTTCCCGGGCTTGGGAAGAGGAAAACCAGCTCCAAGGCTGGCATGAGGAATGTGCCCGCTGCTCGCTCTGCTCAAGGCGCCCAGGGGCACTGGGGGGAAGGCTGCGGCCACGAGGTGGGTGTTTGTCACCCACCCCGTCCCATCCGTGCCGCCGGGCGCCGCTCCGAGCGCAGCGGGGATTGCAGGGACCGTGTCCAGCCTCGCGCCCCTGGCTCTCGTGTTCATTAAGCTCTTTTAAACCACGGCACCGTCTTCCAAGGCAGCGCCCACCACGGACCCTGCTCGGGCGCTCCGACAGCCGCGGGGCGCTCCTGCCTCGCCGCCCCTCGCGCCCGCGGTTTGCACCTCCATCCACAAGCAGGTCAGAGCCGCGGCGCCCAGCGACGCACAGCTCCGACGGGGAGCACAGACTCCACGCAAACGGGCACAGCTTTTGTACAAAAACCACTTTTTGTTTTTAATTTTATTTCACAAAATCGGGTGGCTGCGTCGCAGGAATAAAACCGGCCCTATACAGAGGATCAGATGAAAAAGTCAGCACATGTCTCATTTATACAGAAACACGACAGTGTCAAGAATCCAGGTACTCTGGAGGATCAGCACTAGCACAGTAAAAAATAAGTCTCCGTCTGGATCCTTTACATTGTGAAGTGGATCACGCTAAAAACAACCTGAGGTTCCGCCAGGCCGGGCTGCGTCCGCCCCCTGCCCCGCGCGGCTCCGTGTGCGCCGGCCCCGCTCCCGCTCCGCGAGGCCCCGGGCGCCGCGCTGAGCGCCCGGCCACGGGGCTGGTGCAGGGACCTCCGCACGCCGCGGGGAGCCGGCACCCGAGCGCTCTCCGGCCTCTCTGCCGGTCCAAGGGCGACGCGAGCGGAGCCGGAGCTCGGAGCAGCTCCGGTGGCCTCCGGCGCCCCGAGCCCGGGCGGGGGCCGGGGGCAGCGCTGCCCGCCGCGGCGCCCGGCTGCAGGAGGTAGTTCTGGCACTCGCCCCCCAGCCACCCGCCCCGACCCCCCGCACTTCTTCGCTACCTACTATTTTATTCTTTTTTTTTTTTCTTTTTATTCTTTTTTTTTTTTTTAAAGGTAAAAAGTATATGCTCCAAAAAGAGGGACTAAAAATCGTGTGTTTTCTTTTTTTTTTTTTGTTTCCTCAGTTGGCTACTGTACCAAACTACTCAGAGGGAAGGCTCAACTACCACCTTCAGAAGCAAAATAATAAAATAAAAATAAAATGCGGAGCAAGAAACCTCCTACCGGTGAGTGGTTTTATTCCAATTGATTCGCTCCTGGCTTCGTTCGCACTGGATCAATATTTTCTTTAATAAGTTAGTGAGGCAGCCCCGGGACTCGGCTACAGTCCTTAACGATCAGGTACCGCTAATGAATGCAGCTGCATTTCTGCACCTTCTACACTACCGCGTGCCCTTAACTTTCCTTTTCCTGCCCAAATCACGGGTTTGGCGTCCCATCTTGGCCCGCTCTACCTGGAGAGCCCAAGGGATGAAGCCACAGGTGAAGGTGGCATCTGCCCCAGCCTAAAATCTCACCTCTTGCCTCCCCCTTGGAAGTTTTTTCCCTCTTTTTAAGCTTTCCCCCAGGAGAGCCCAAAGCTGCAGCCAGGGAACGGGCAGAGCGGAGGCGGCTCCGCAACGGGACCCACGGCGGCACCTTCCAGCCAGAGGCTTCCCGGGAATGCCAGGGAGTGCCAGGGCAGGGCGGGGACACACGGCGCCGGGCTCCTCCACGTGTATGTGTGCACATGCATGTACACGCACGTGTATGTGCGCACATGCATGTACAAGTATGTGCGCACATGCTTGTTCATACGTATGCACACGTGTACACGCGTGTATGTGTGTGCACACGCGTGTATGTGTGTGCACACGCATGTACATGCATGTATGCGCACACATGCACGCGGGGGGCAGGCCGGGCGCCTGCGAGGGGCCGCGAGGGAGCCGGGGAGGCGTTTTGGTCACCGCGGTGCTGCTGCTGCGGCTGGAGTTCCTCCTTCGGGCTGCTTAGGGAGCGGCGGAGGCCGGCGGGGCTCCGGCCGGAGGGGGGGTCACCCCTTCTGCTGGCGGCGGCGGCGGCTGCGCGGCGGGGGGATCTGCAAGAACAACGGGGGAAAGGCTGAGCGGGGCAGCGGGTTTTGCTGCACGGTGCCCTGCGCTTCCCGAGCTTCCCTTGCGCTTCCCGAGCTTCCCTTGCGCTTCCCGAGCACCGAGCGCTGCCTGGACCCTGCGCAGGAGGAAAAACACCCCCAATCCGGAAGGGGCGGCATTTAAAATACATATAATACTACAGCTTATAGGCAGAGCCTGCGCTTGAACTCCCAACAGCAAGCGGAGGTTAAGGCAGAGGCAGCTGGAGTGGGAGCAAGCAGGAGGAGAGAAGGGAGGGGGCAGAAGGGCCAGCTCCCCTGCACCCCAAGGAGATGCTAATGGGACGTGACCCAGCTGCTCAGCACGGAGGAAAAGAGAAGACTGGGAAAAAGAGCATGAGGAAATGCAGCCTGACAAGGTATTCCCGGCGGGAGAGGCTGAGCAAAGGGCAGGAAAACCAAGGGGAGCTCCAGGAGAGCAGAGAGGACGTGTGTGAACAGAGGCAGCCTCCGAACAGCCGTTTCATGGGTATGCTGGTCAACGCCAGCGGGTGTTGACACCACGCGAGGAACATTCCCACACACCTTTTGCTTCTTCCTAATGAGGACTTGCCCTTTTTCATTGCACCATGCAAAGTTATCAGTAAGGTACCACTGAACGAGGTGATATTCCCATCTCGACTATGTGGGGATTTAGCTACAGCTAATTGCACTCCTGCTGCATTACTTCAGATTGAGAGAGGCTTTCGTCGGTGACCACAAAGCCTTGGAGTCATTATAAATAAAAAAGGGGATGTTATAAATAAAATAAAGGACAAGAGCGCACGTTTGGATGCCTCGGAGCACTTAAAGCTTCAAGCACCCCCCTGGCACCCATCTCTGGCTGCCAAGATGCCCGGATCTTATTTGCACAGCACAAAGGGGGTTCAACCACGCTGCCTTTTCCAGCGTCGAGCCGAGCCAGGGAGAAGCCCCATGGAGAATCCCAACTTACAGAGGCCGTTGGGAGCGGCTAGAGGAATGCGGGGCCCGAGGAGGTTGCCCGACATGGGAGCCATGCCAGGCGGAGCCGGCCCGCTCCCGGCAGGATGGATGTTGGCTGACACACTTGGCATCATCCGGCCCGGCATGGGCTGCCCAGGTAGCATCGGCCCCGGCCCCGGCAGCTGACCTGCAAGAAGGTTCAAAACACACAGCAATGAAACATGCTTGAAACACAAATGATCAGAAAAACAGAACAAAAATGCACAGAGGAGTCCAGAGGTCCTCAAAAAAGGCAGGTCTGGAACAGAGCCAGCTCCATCCCCGCTCCAAATGCCACCTGAGTCAGCCCAAAGGAGAAGCTTCTCCCTCCCCAGTGCCAGCACAATTGCTGCAGGAACAACTGCCGGGCACTTGTATTTTCAGAAACACCCATGGAAGAGGGACTATTCCATGGGAACACCCATGGACTACTCCCAGGAATAGGTACCTGGGATCCCCCTGCACGTCACAGCTTCCCGGGTAAGGGAGCCCTGGCACAGGGCCCACGTTAGGCACCCGAACGGGGCTGCGGGAGCCCAACTGCCCTGGAAGAGCCCTTGGCGAGCAGGAGCAGAGCCCCGGAGCCATTCCATGCAAGAAGGGAATCACCCAGCTCCCAATTAGACTGCCCAGGTATCTCTCCTATCAAAACCAATCCTGGTGCGAGGGAGAATTCCCGTACACCTTCCTTAGATACCAACTCAGGTACCTTTGGCGTTTCAGCAGAACAGAGAGCGGTCTGAACCGCACCGTTTGGGCCGCGCACAAGCTGCGGGTGGAGGTTTCGAAGCCTCCTTGGAGGAGATGATCTTGCACGATGCCGTAACGTCCACGAGGATGAGAAGCAGCGCCGGGCAGACACGGAGGCAGCGTGTCCGCCTCGGCAGGGCGGCCGTGCTGCCATGAGCTGCCCCAGGGGGGCTCTTGGCACCCCGAGCCCCCTGCACCGCTGGAGCAAAGGCCATCCAAGGGGATGGACACCCACCGATTGTGGCCAACCAGGCCAGGGCGAGCTCAGGGAACGAGGTCCTGCTCCAGCACAAACACCATTCACTCGCACTGACGCGCCGCTGGTGTCCAGTTTAAAGCAGTCTGGAACTGGTTGATAAGGACCAACAAGATGGTCCTGCCAAACGAGACGTCCCTCAACCTGAGCTGGCAGCAACTTCAGTGCAGAGGAACGTGACTGGAGGGACCTCCGGAGACCTCAACCAACCTCCTGCTCCAAAGCTGAGCCCTGAGCTCTGTGGCCAGACCAGGTTGCTCAGGGGTTTTGTCCAGTCAGGCCTTGGTCCAGTCAACTGGCCTCAGGCCTCCTCGTGTCCAGCCGGGACCCCTCCTGGGCGAGCTGTGGTTCTTATGCCGTGCGAGGTGTCCAAGGAGCGCGCGGGTCTGTGCAGAGCAGCAAGGGCAACGCTCCGGGGCTGGAGACGGGCGCAGATGGCACAAATTCCCTGCCAGGGGCAGCTACGTGTGCGTCATGCTCCAGCGTGGCACAACACGAGGGCAGCTCGGAGCTCGAGACACAATAACCCAACGGCAGCAGGAGGGAGGCTGGAGCTACAGGATCGGGGCCGCTGGGGTGGGCGCCTGGGTGTGCGGACGGTCCCAGAGCCACCCATGTCCCCACAACGGGTGACTGAGCAAAGGGCAGCCCTGTGGTGACGGGACATCTTCTACCTGGCCTGGAACTTCTAGAGGACTCCAGCTTGGAGCTTCAAGCAGGCGAGGACAACAGGAAGAGCAGAGGTGAGCGGCTCCTCTTGCCCCTGCTAGGCTCATGTGCAGAACCCAAGGAGCTGGAGCCCCCCTGCTCTCCCTCAGCCTCTGCACGTGCAGCAGCTCTGAAGCTCTCAGCCTGGCAGAGGACATGGAGACACCAGATCAAGCTCCAGGCGAGAAGGCTCCAGGTCAAGTTCCACAGGAGGAGGCTCCAGGTCAAGCTCCAGATCTTCCTCTAACCCACATGATGGATGTGGGAACTTGTGACATGGCTGGTGATGTGTGGTGGCCCGTGGCACCACAGTCATAGCACATGAACAGCAGCTTGAATTTCATCTGCTAAAATTTCTAGTGTGAAATATTTAAAGAAAGCATGGAAAAATCCCTCCAGAAGTCCTCCGCACGCAGCCTGAATCCTCTGCGGTTGCTTCTGCAAACACAGCCTGTCCCCTGGGACCCAGAACAGCAAAGGCTGGTTTTCCTTCACACACAAGGAAGGATTCAAGCATTCTCCTCACGGTCCCGGTAAGTTCCACACGCCTCAAGTTTGAACATTTCAGTTTTTCCTAGCGCACTCAAGATATATTTCTTTTAAATAGAGATGTGGACTCAGCGTAGACACTTAGGTCTCCAATTACAGTGGCAAGCAGACGGACACGCATGACTGTGGAAGGCTTTTAGCCTATTTCTTACGCTCTTCCCTAGGTGTCAGCTGTGGCCTATGAGGTTGGACACAGGGACCTTTGGGCAGACCCAGCACGTTCATGGTTGCACAGCCTCTTTGTGAAAAGCCAGGTCTGCCAGAGTAAGCACCAAGCCCGGAATGTTGTATCCATCCCATACCAAGCCAGGAATCTGCCTCCTCATCCTCACCCCTTGGAAGGGGATGGCCCAGGAACAGCAGGTCTGCTGCATCAGGACAACACCCTTCTGCTGTCAAGAAGTCTGGCTTGACGTTGCTTTTAATGAACACTTCTTAAAATGCCCTGAAGGATCCGGAGCTGGCTCAGGTTTGCAGTACACTGAATGGCCTCAGGTGAAGGCTCGTGCTCTCCTGCTAGACAAGGCTTCCTTCAGTGAACGGAGCCTTGCAGACATGTAGCAATGCGGAGCATTAAGGGGCTATGGTTTACATGGTCACAGCAGCCACGGCAACAGCTAGAATCACTGTCAAAGGCAAATTAAATCAACCTTAAAATAATTTCACAGAATCATCAAGGTTGGAAGGGACCTCTAGAGATCATCTAGTCCAACCTTCCTGCTCCAGCACGGACACCCAGAGCACGGGGCACAGGGTGGCATCCAGGTGGGTTGTGAAGACCTCCAGAGAAGGAGACTCCACTTTCTTATTTGCCATCTAATTTGCTTTCTTATAAATTTGAAAGTTTAGAACTTCTTATAAATTTCTCGTGAATTTGCTCTTTTAAATCTCACCAAATCTCATGACAAAAATGGGAAGCCCTTTACAGCCAACTCAAAGAACCTACTGTAAAGTGTTATAGTGTTATTCTCCCAAGGCTGGGACATTTAAAAATAGGGGGCACGTTAAGTTTTCCTGAAGCTGCCCAGTAAGCCGAGAAGCTTCTCTATGTTTGAAAGCAGGACTGACTGTCGACTCTGACTTTTTTTTAAAAAATTATTATTATTTTTTTAAGAATACTACAATTTTATCTCAAAATTAGCTTGAAGGACCTTGCAGAGCAACATAACTATCACAGAGCATAACTCCAAAATGTTGAGGTTGGGCAGTAATCAAGCAACACCCAAACTGGGATTAAGCACAGGGAAATTGGTAGTACCACTACAGCAAAAAAACCCCAGTGCTATTTCTATAGAGATCAGATGCTATTTCATCCTACAAGAGATACAGCTCCAAGACAGCGGCTGAAGCGTAAAATGTGAAAGTGTGACCTACATAAGGGGGAGAGCTTAAAACCAGCAGACGCAGGAGGAGATAAAGCCAAAAGGTTCAACAGAATGAGATTTAGCAGACTGAAAAAAAAAATAAAAAGCGCCTTTACATGTTAGATGTTTTTGACATTTTCTAATGCATGCTCTGAAGCACTGCACTAGCAACCAAGGGAAAACGGCAAATTCCTGCAAATTCCCCTTATAATGAAATGTAAGAGCTGTTTTTGTAAGATGTCCAAGGTGTTTACTCACCTATATTAAATGAGCCTCTACCTCGATGGAAGGGGCTGCCCGCGGGCACCAGAGTGGGAGCGCTTCAATATTTTTGCATTCCTGGAGCAGGCAGTGGGTGTCCATTCGAATGCTGCCCCTCTCCTCTCACCGTTTCCCCTTCCCGAGCCGCCCGTGCTCGGAGAAGGAAGCTCCCGTTTTGGGGCTGGGAATTCAGATGGAGGTCGGCACCGCGGCGCTCCTCGGATTTCTGCCAGGGATCCCTGCATCTTTCTCCAATCTCAACTCTCTTAACTTCAATCTCAACTCTGCCCATGGCGCTGCCTCCACGGGGCAGGTACCACGCGCGACACCGCGTGCCGGAGCGCTGGCACGCCGGGAACCATCCTGTATTAATGCACCTTCAATAATAGATGCTTGTGAGGAATCTGGAGGAGCTCAAACCTTGCAGATAGCAGAATGTCAACAGTATGAGGCAGGTCATGGCCACGTTATCCGGCATCCCCGGTGGAATTGCTGTCCTCTGGCTGATTCCAATCTGCTATTCCAGCCCCTGGTGCTTTCTGCACGGCCGGGTTGTTGCAGGGGATAACACAGCAGCCAGCTGCTAATGGCAAGAACCACAAAACCCTCTACCTGCCCTCATGTCCAGCAGGGCAAGAAGATGCACGCGCAGGAATTCTCCCTTTGCCAACCATACAAACAACTTTCAGCACTAAAACCACAGCAAAAAACC